AACAGACAGACTGTAAATTGTTCATAAAAATCATCTTGAGTGGAGTTAAATACCCAAGTGGCAAAACATGATCATGAAGAAACAAAGAATTCTATTCTGAAGTATAACCTACATTGCTGCTTTGCTTTTCTTTCTTTTTTTTTTTTGTAAGTTGTCATTTGAGTTCAGCATTTTGTCATGTTAATTTTAGATTTCATAGAATTGTGAAGATTGGAAAAGATCATTTTGATTATCTGGTACAATCGTTAAGGCATCACCACCAAGCCTACTAAACCACATCCCTAAGTGTCACACCTGCACATCTTTTGATGTCCAAGGGTGGTGACATCTCCTCTTCCCTAGGCAGCCATTCCAATGCCTTACCATGCTTTCTAAGATTTTTTTCCTAATATCCAGCCTGAACCTTTTCTGACCCAACTTAAGGCCATTTCTTCTTGTTCTGTTGCTAGTCATCTAGGAGAAGAGGCTGGCCCCTGCCTTGCTACAACCTCTTTTCAGACGGTTGTAGAGAGTAATCAGATCTCTCTTGAGGCTGCTGTTTCTCCAGACTGAATAATCCCACTTCCTTCAGTCATCCCTCGTAAGACTTGTGTTCCAGTGTTGTTGCCTATCTTTGGACATGCTCCAGCACCTCAATGTCTTTTTATTATCGTGAGGAGTGCAAAAAGGAATACGCTACTCAAAGTGTGGTCACGCTGGTGTTCTTGTTTGAGCATCTCTCTCAACAAATGTGATTGTGAGTGATGTCAATAGCTTTTTGTCACTTCTGCCTGATTTTTTAGAATGATTGTGAGATTTCTTGGAATCTGGTCCCTTTGTTTTTCAGGATATTTATGCTCAGAGCATGCAGAGGGTCACAGGGTCAGGACCTAGCCACCTGTGCTTTTGTAGTAGGGAATGGGGAAGGATGAGCTGATGCACATCGTATGTCTTTATTATGCTGAATTGAAATGCAGTTAGGCTGCATATCCAGATGAAGGATTAGACTATGCTCCTGAAAAGTTTTGAATAGAATCAACTTAGTTACATAGCCTCTGAAGTATATAGCCTAATCTGCTGTTGTTGTCAAGTGGAAGTACTGTGATGAATTCAGGAACTGCGTGGGAGGGCCAGGGATGTGAGATTCTTCTGAGCTGGTATTCCTCTGCTACCCAAGGAAGCTAAAATGAGGGCGGATATTAGGATGGATCTGCTGCTCACTGTATTCATGGAGTTGGAATCACTTTTCTGTGCATCAGTGCCTGTTTAGGGAGGGAAGGTGTTCTGAGTTGGACTTAGAATGGAGTCTTCTCACTCCTGGAAAACAAGGGTTGGAAACTTGTCCCAGGTTAATGCTTATGAGGAGCTAGCAAGGCTGTATGCTCTCTGTGGGATAAGGGTGAGGGCTTTCAGATCTGAAATTGCACTGGAGTGCTGCGCAGCCTGGAGAGCTCATAGTGCAATGTGGAATTTAAGGGCTGTTATTGATAGGAATCGCGTCATAGAAAAAAATCTTCCTGTGTTTAAATAAGTGGATATTCTTCTGTAAGAGCACAAGCACACAATTTATGCTTTTGTCAAGATCCTAATTTTCTTTTAAACAGCTTTTAGTGTTTCTGATTTTAAAGCTATCTGTCTTTTCAAGATAATTTAAGATGAACTGAATTTACGCAAATCTAGGACTTACGATATCAACTGTTGGCATGTTGAGGGATATATTTACTGCCTACTGAAGTCTGAAATTCTGCATTATTTTTTTCATGTTATTTATTTTGGAGAATAGTAGAGAGTGCTTTTTCTCACTGATAAAGAATAATGGCTTAGCATTTGTAATAATCAAAGGGACTGACTTAGAGTGGAATAGCAAGTCATTCAGCACAAGCCAAAACCAGGAGACATCCAAAACAACAAAAAGTCAACATCCTCATTTAATGAGGGAAAACCATGCTAATTCATGAATGCAAATTTTTTGTAAGAAAATTCTGTAAAACTTGGCCTATGTCTCAGATCAGCCCCCAGCTGGCTTAATGTCTCTGGTGTATACTCAACTTCAACACTGGCCAGTGGTATTATTTGAAGGAAAAAAGAGGAGTGTGCAGGGAATATATCTTCTTCTGCACTTGTATTTTTATATGCATGACTCTTCAGTGTCATAGAACAACATGCTGACAGATGATACTTAGTCACCTTCTATACCTGTTGATTATATGCTTTGATCTGAAATTTATTTTACTCTACTTGACAGACGAACTGTTTCTTAATCCATTGATAAAACCTGCTAAATAAGCACTTTTAATTACATTGATATCACCAGAAGAAGACGTGAATCACAGAATGACTTAGGTTGGAGGGAAGACTAAAGATCATCTAGTTCCAACTCTTTGCTGTGTGTAGGATTGCCACCCACTGCCCAGGGCCTCATCCAACCTGGCCTTGAATGCCTCCAGGAATCGAGTATCCACAGCTTTTCTGGCAGCTCTTTCTCACTGCCCTGGCTGCATCGATGGCAGCGGTGTGCCCCTGGTATTTCTCCAGTGCTTCAGTAAGAAAAGCCAGGAAGAAGGCTTCACTGTCAACTCCCTCTGACCACTGCTGCCTGTGCAGGGCACTTTTTCTCCATATGTTCCCAGTGAGTTCTCTGACATGCCCACCTGTAGAAGTCAACAGCCACTCACCTCATCTTTCAGATAAGGCTTTTTCCAGTTTTTCTACTGTTTGTCTATATTTTAGCCGTATCTCAACAATTCTTGCCCAGTGCTGGTCATGGTGTGATGCCTGTCTGTAAACCTGAAAGAAGCCTTCAATGGGAGACTTCAAACAAAATGTTTTTGGTTTTTTTTTTTTTGAGGAATATGTTACACTTTTATTCTTCCTTTGCATAGTTAGTTAGGATGCCTCCTTATATTTGTTTCAGTGCATCAATGAAGAGACGTGTCTCAAATAGCTGCTTTCTTATGGCTTATATCCTGTCTGCTGTGTGAGAAATTTCCTTTTGTGTGTATTAAGGCTATCTGAAACGTTTCTTCATGTTTTTTTTCTGAATTCTATATGTAAATATCTCTTTGCTGTCACAAAGGCTGCTAATTTGTCATGTGAACTCTACGTAGCTGGAAAATGGATTCTTGTTTATCTTCTTTCCCCTGTCCCCATCCTGGAGAATCTGTGCATGACCATCTTTGGCCAACCCATAACCTCACACAGTCACACAGTACAGTCTCAATGGAATCTGTTGGCTGGCAAGTCTTTTCATCCAATTGTGAAAGCATATTTTGTCAGCACGTAGGTAGTATGTTTTGCCAGCTTTCCAGTCTTTGAGACCTGCAGGGCTGTAATGTAGGAAAACGAGTTTTGTTTAGCATTCATTTTCCCTGGATGTTTTTATGAATGTCCCTTGAAGGGGCCTATCTATCTGCATTAGAGAGAAAATAGGTAATTAGTTTAGATTCAATAGGTAGAGCAAATGACATGATACTGTAACAGATTGTCTCCTCGTAAATTATACACCTGCAAAGAAAATTCACCATGAAAGCTCCTAGATTCACTTGAGGGCAAAGATACTTATTTTAACGTAAATTATACAATGAATGGAGAGAGAGATTGTGAATGGAATTCTTAAGTACTTAATTTTGAATCTGACCGTGATGAAACATTGAGTGTTACTGCTTAGATTTTTTTTTGTCGTTGTTCACTTGTATTCAGAATACCTCTGCTATCTTTTAAACTAAAGCCACAAGGAAGTTAATACTTAGTTTTGATTGCTCCTATGACTGTTCACTTGTGAAACTGGAGGAAAATGTTTTATAGATTTTGTGTCTGGATTTAGGAGACTAGATTCTTATATAAATGAAATACTTAGATGTACATCGGCTCCTGTGATTTCCCAACACCATCTGCCTCACTCCCACCTCCCTAGTAAAGAAGAATCTCTTAAAACTTTTAGCAGGTGTTAAAAATAAGTTGATGGGTTTATTTAATTATCAGTCTTATAAATGCTGATTTTTTTTTTTTCCTTTTTATCATTTTTTCAGTACTGAAAGATGGGTTTGTATCACTGTATCTGTTTTTGTTCTTTTTGACTTGGCACAGGAAAAGCTGACTTAAAAATATAGGTTAGAGAACTACTAGTTAAACTGTAAAACACTGAGAAGCGTGTTAAGGCATGACAGTATTGCATAGTGAACAATCATTCTTTTTTCACTTGTTGCTTCTGGAGACATGTATTAAAAAGAGAGAGGAGAGTGGTGTGAAGCAAACATTCTCCAGCTTATGGTTCACAATAATTGACCTTACCGAAGTAAGAATGAATGTGGTTTTAAAAAATAAAAAAGTCTCCAAAGACTCCCAAGCTCCAAAAGGTCCATAACAAATATATTCCCAAAACACAGAATGCTCTTAGTCATGAGATATTTTTGCCTGCCATTCTCAGAGACATGTAAGCTGCCAGACATGCCATCTGTCATGCAGCCATTTGAGTGTTTGGCGCTGCCAGGAGCGTTAATGCAGCTTGGATGGAGTGCAGCAAGGGGTGAACAAATGCTACTGTGGAGTATTGCTTGAAAATTGCTTTTTTTTTTTTTTTTTTTTTTTTCCTTAGAAGGTGGAATTTGTAGGTATTAGAGGACTAGGTAGTACGTGATCTTGATTGAGGAATGTGAACTTTGTGGGGCTTCTGCTTCTCTTTTTTTGGTAACCTTTCTTTAAAAAAAAAAAATAAAGATACATTTCAAGTAGTTTTAAAAATTGCTTGCTATTATTGATGTTTATTATCTGTAGAGAATATTGTAAACATTCATTTGTTTTCCTAATTAAAAAATTTAACTTCTGGCTGAAGAATATAAATACTTAAGTGCTATAAAGAATAATATATATCAAGGAAGCATTTA